TCATCGCTTCTGGGTCACCGGACACGTGGAGGGAGAAATTTGAAAGAGCTGAGTTCATCCTTGGCGTTCTGAGATGCATAACTACGCTTGGGTCTTGTATGTATGTTTCGGAGACTCTGCATACATCAATTTTAAGTGAGTATAAGGTCTCAGCAAGCACTGCCTGTTTATCGATTTGACGTGGAGTACGGACGTTAAAAGTTCCTAAATAGAGAAGATTTCACGGATTTGGAAAGGTTATATTTCTTTTATTGTTAATAGGCAGCGAGGAGCGTGAGACCCTTCGGTCAGATAGCTGACAGTCTAATGACCCAGCGATGTTTGTCTGTGTGGTGGGAAGAGTTGGGGAGAGGAAATTGGTGGACATCTAACTGCGCGGGCAAATGATACTTCCCGGTTGCCCAGGCCGAGGAAGGTGGTTTGGTTGAGGTACCCCACTGTGAGCCTGTCTCAAAACGTTGAGCAGTGAGGCAACGGACAGTAGGGCTTTCTTTGGGGACCCTGCCCGGAGCCAAGACTCAATAGTCTGACGTGTTCGCTGCAGGGGGTTGGCCTAACCCGAAGTCGCAGGGTGTAGGACATTGCCGTTTCACTCCTGATGCAACCACGGGTGCCTTTTGAGCGTTACTGAATTTTTTGGTTGAAGGTAATTTGACCGTATTGAAGGGTGCCTTTCGTTACTGGATTTTTTGGTTTTGAAGGTAATTTGACCTGTATTGAATAATGTGCCGGCGGTAATGGTCAACCGTTGGGCGATCGGAGATAAATGTAATTCCAAGGAGCTAAGACGGCCTACTTGAACATCCATGTCGCCTGCAAGGACCACAATTTCAATGCTTTTTGTGTGACGAATGAGCCCGGATAGCTCTCGACCCGTCCTTCTTTGGGTGAAGGCAGCACCATTGCTTCTATGCGTATGGACGTGCTTTTCGCCTGGGAGGAACGCCTCTTATCGCAGAGGACAGTACGACTTCACCCCTAGAGTGCCTCGCAGCACGATTACTCGTAGTAGTACGTAAGGTTACTAGGTCTCGCTTCTCTTGGTCTGACTGCTCTCCTTTGGCCTTTCTGGCATGGTTGCACTTTGTGGAAGAAAGTTCCAGCTAGTGTAGCCCGCGGGATCAAGTAGTACGTTTACTAGGTCTCGCTTCTCTTGGTCTGACTGCTCTCCTTTGGCCTTTCTGGCATGGTTGCACTTTGTGGAAGAAAGTTCCTTCCAATGTAGCCCGCGGGATCATTGTAGCGCTCAAGCTCGACTCCCACGTGAAGGCGGCAGGTATAGGTCAGCAGTGTCTAGCGGTCAAAGGTGTTCGTCCCAAATTTGTATCCCTTAGGGCACTGTATGTGAACCCCCCCCCCTCTGTGGGCCCGTGCAAGTATACGGAGGCTTTCGCCTGAGTTCACCGCATCCAGTGGTGTAAGACAAGATTGCTTTTTCTCGTCTTTCCGCTTCACCTTTGTTATTGATGTGCTGCCTACCTCTCAAACCTCAAGGGTCGAAATGTTCCCTTACAAACATTGGGTATGTGAGCGATATTGTCCTTGATTCAGG